TAGCATCGATGGAATGAGAATGCCAATAGGTAGAAATGTGCTGTTGGTTTCAGAGCTGCTTTGTTTAATTATATGATTTCCTGAAAAAGTGAACAACTTTTGATTCATTTCTGAACAACAACAACAACAACAACAAAAAGGATGAGTTTCTCTTGATTTACACAGTTGGTGCATTCCTGGAAAAACTATTATTATTTTGTATTAAAATTGCAAGAATAATTTTGCTAATATGTAAAGTGGAATAAGTTTCTAAACTCAGAAAATTATAGATAGGTTTTCACCCCATGTGAACTTTCATTGGAACATTTGAAAATTTAAACTTGCATAAGTAGCACAGTTTTATGTTGTAAGAGACTGTCCTGCACATTCAAAATGCCTAGATCCTGGCCCTGCCTACTGAATTCCAGTAGCACTCCCACCAGTTATTGTGACCTCTCAAAAAAGTGCCCCCACAATTTTCCAAAGCACCTTTTTTAAGAATACTGCTTAGACATCATCAAGAATGTAATAAATACTGAGTGGTCAACCATAATGACCGTTACAAGAAAGTTGGTGTATTGAAAGATAGCCTGGAATCTTTTGTGGGATTTATTAAGATCTGGGTCATCTATATGGCGAGATCAACTTTTAAAAGATCATCTCTCCTGAAGCATGACACTTATGGGCCACATTTCTGAATAAGCACAGTAGAGATTGCTCAAGACACAGACCCCTACTGTTAGCCTCTTCACCATGAGACTTTTCCCAAAATTCATACAATAAATTGAAAAGCTATCTCTTTGTGGAACCACAGACTGATGAATGTGGACAGAAATACTCTTGGAACCTTTTTTGAGCCAACTCAGTCAGGGGCATGTGACCTCACGATGGTGACTTAAAATAGTAAGTGCTGCTCTCCCAGCTCATGTTGCTAAGTCCTATCTGGTTTGCTTTCTACCCTCTGACTCACTGAAGATTACCCTCCTTCAGGGTTCCTTCTCTATCTTCCTCAATGTTGTTGTTTTTGTTGTTATGTGCCATCGAGTCGGACCCGACTCAGGGCAACCCCTCCTTGGGTATCCAAGGCAGTATCATTATGGAAGCAGATTGCCCAATTATTTAATTGTTCCTACTCCATTTTTTTTTCTTTTTCCTTTTTAAAAAAATAATCACGAAGGAGTTTTGCTTTCTTTTTAATCTGTTTTGTTTCTCTCCTTACAACAGTAATTAATATTCATTTTGCAATATTCAAGCAGGCCCACAATATATAACGTAGAAAGACAAAGTCTCCTCTAACCCCCTGTTCCAGAAACAACTGTCATGGTTAATGATTTCCTTTCCATGTGTCTGGCAGACATGATTCATTCTGACCAGATTCTATGGCTGCTCCTTCTAAATGGGGATGATTTGAAGTTAGGTTCAGTCCTCTTCCCTCTCCAAGAGCCGTGAGAGCCAGCAGGCTTAGCTCACAGTTCTTTGAAGAGTTCTTAGGTTCTTGATCTCAGTCACTTTTCTTTTCTAGATTAATTTACATTGCTTAGTCTCAGTATCATTCTTTCATTTCTCAAATGCAGAAATCCTGGTTATAGAAATTCAGAAATTCTTTAAGGGGAAAAATGAGACAGCTATTAAAAGATAGTATGGACTAGAAATGAAGACACATGACTAGTTCTGCTGTTAATGTACTACCTAACCTTGGACACATTTCTTGAAGGGATTAGCTGCCTCTGTGGAGTTATCATAAGTTTTCTTGGTTTTTTTTTTTAAAGTAAGATCACATGTACTATATAATTTGTTGTTGCAGAAATGTTAGAAGATGCAGATTTTAAAACTATAAAATTTCCAATGCCCAGAGATAACCTCTGCTGGAAAATCACTGTTAGTAAGCAAGCTTTTTAAAATTTTTTTATTGTGGTAAAATATATGTAACAAACACTTGCCATTTTATAGTTTAATGACATTAATTGAATTCACCATGTTGTACAATCATCATCACCACTATCACTTTCGAAAAGTTTTTCATCATCTCAAATAAGCTCTGTACCTCTTAAGTAAGAACCAAATATTGCTCCTTCCCTCAGTCCCTGGTAACCACTAATAAACTTTTATCTCTATGCATTTGCCTATTGTAGATATTTCATATAAAACGAGATCATGCAATATCTGTTCTTTTGTGTCTCATTTACTTCACTCACCATAATGTTTTCAAGGTTCATCCATGTGGTTGCATGTATCAGAATTTCGTTTCTCTTTGTGACTGAATAATATTCCCTTATATATATATACCACAGTTTGTTATCCGTTCTTCTGTTGATGAACACTTGAGTTGTTTTCATCTTTTGACTACTGTGAATAATATTGCAGTGAACATTGGTGTACAAATATCTGTTTGAGTTCCAGTTTTCAGGTCTTTTGATAATACCTCGGAGTGGAACTGTTGGATCATACGGTAGTTATATGTTTAACTTTTTGAGGAACCATCAGACTTTTCTATAGCAATTCCTGCTTCCTCTCCCTATAGTTTAAAGTTTTTGCTTCCTATGAGAAAAGGGTGTGGGGAAATGAGCAGGTTTCATGCCTGTCTCCCAGTGCAGCCAATCAGTTCATGTTGAGAAAGGCTCTCGTGTCCTTCCCTGTCCCCAGTCTTTCTTGGGAGTACCAGGTGCAGGCCTTAGAAAAAAGAGCAGCATCTGAGAATGGGAGAACAATGTGGAACAAAACTCACAATCATTTAAAAAAAAAGGGGGGGGGGGCTAGGTTTGCTGGTTGCTGGTTTGATAGAGCCTGATGGAACCACTGAGACTCTGGCCCCAAGCTGCCCTTCAGATCTGGAATTGAACCCACACTTGTGGCTTCCAGCCAAGCAAAAGACAGGCATATGAGTTGAACGTTTACCTGAGGTAGATACACTTGGAGCAATCAATCATGGGAGAATAAAAGGGCTGTGTACACACACAGACAGCTCGGGAGGCAGGAGTACATGGAAGGAAAGGATACAGGGAAGAGGTAACTCTGGGGAGGAAGTGGGAGGGGAGCTGTTGCATTGTGGGAAATTTCAGTCAATGTCATGAGACAAAGTGTATATGAGCTGCTGTATGGAAGGTGAATTTGCTCTGTAAACTTTCACTCAAATCACTATAAAAATTTAAAAAAGTGCTGCATCTGGGCATGAAATCTCCTGTGCCTAGGGCTCCCAGGAATTCCACAGACTCACTTCCCACCCTCAGACTTTAGGAACTTGTTTAAATTTCAGCTACAATTTTCTTAACCTTCTTGTGCAGTAGCCACTTCTTCCCATGCTCTGCCAAAGATGAGCATCCCCTTTCTCCATAAAGAGACATATTACTCTTTAGAGTTGGGTCCACTTGGTTGCTTTATAACCTCAGCTCTCCGATGAGCTCAAGAGAAGTGGTGGTTTTATAGATTATCTAGCTTTCTCTCGTTAGGGAGCTTCTCTTGCATCTCACTACATCCTAAACAGAAATCATCAGTTTAAAAAAAAAAAAAAAATTAGCTCATACATCCCTGGTTAATTGAATCAGTATGTTCATTAGGTAGAAGCATAGAGCTCAGCAGGAACCTGCCCCCTGGGCCTACTCTCAACCCTTGCCTTCTTCCTGAGGGAAAGTTCTTGAAGTTCTTCCTGAAGGCAAGTTCTGAAGAGGTCCTTCTGAACAGTTTGAAAACCATTGGCCTGAGTTACTCCTGACGTACTTTTTCATTGCTTAAAGGTGGTTGACTGTATAAACTGAGTCTTCTTGACCAGGTGTGTGGCCCAGGCTTGCTCACCTCTGCTTTCTCTTTAATGCAGGTGCTTATGGAAACTCTGGGTGCTCTGGGGGCACAGTGCCGCTGGGCGGCCTGCAACATCTATTCCACTCTTAATGAAGTGGCTGCTGCTCTGGCAGAAAGTGGTAAGATCTTTGGCTGGTCTCTGTGTTTTGGCTAAAGTAAGTCTAAGAAAAGTTCCACTGTTTCATTATATAATCTTTAAGGAAGATTGACAGTAAAAGCTGTCTTGGCAGAAATGGATCCCTATTCTTGATGAATTTTGCTCTCTTCTGTCAAATGTGATCTGGTTAACTTTGTTGTTGTACAGTTGGCGAATATCTGCCTGTGTCTGATATTCCATTCTTAGTTAATGCATTGCCTGGGCTCACTACCATTAGAACCCCATCATACAGTACTCGCTGTCGAAGGTAAGTGGGCTAGAGAAGAAAATGCTACAGATGTAGCCTGTGGCCCTGCAGGTTTTCCACAGGCTGTTTGCCCTCAGTTAATGGTCAGTGGTTCTGCTTCAGCAGTAGAGAGGACTTGACCTGGCAGATTAATATTTGATCACAGCAAAAAACTTACACTCGAAGGACAAGAGAAGTAGAGAAGTTTGGACTCTGCCATTTGCTTGCCTTCTCTCTGGCAGCACAACACAGATGAGGGACAAACAGCTTGTTTCTGAGTTCTGAGAAGGCCTGGGGACACCTGCACTGCATGCATGTCCTGGCACTCACGAGTGTCATCTGTTTGCTCATTTTAAAAAAATTTTTATCGATGTATGAAATATGTGTAGAGAAATGAACAGATATCAGATGTACAGCCCAATGAATTATATATACACATTCATGTTTTTTTAACAAATGTTTGACCTATTCTAAGAGCTATAAGGGCAAAAGAGACAATGTCTTTGCCCTAAGAATCTGATATTATGGAGGTAAGACACATAGATAAATAATGATAATACAGGACATGTGTCAGAGATGCCACAAAACCAAAACCGATTGTCATCAAGTCAATTCCAACTCATAGTGACATTGTAGGACAGAGCAGAACTGCCCCATAGGGTTTCTCTAACTCTTTATGGAAAGCATACTGCCACATCTTTCTCCTGCAGAGCTGCTGATACGTTCAAACCACCAACCTTTCTGTTAGCAGCCTAGCACTTTAACCACTGCTCCACCAGGCTCCTCTATAAATGCCATGTTGTTGTTGTTATTTGACATCAAGTCAGACCTGACTCATAGCGACCCCTCCGTGGGTTTCCGAGGCAGTATCACTACAGAAGTAGATTGCCCCATCTTCCTTCCGAGGAGTGGCTGGTGGGTTTGAACCGCCAGCCTTCTGGTT